TAGGAATACGACTCATAATATATCCTTTAATATTCCCTTAAAATTCCTGTTCAACTGAACAAATCACATCAGATGAGTTCCTACGAGTCAAAAATACCATTGAAGTCATCGTATAATATAAACTAGTGTCGCCTGTTGTGGAAACTTAGCCAATTGTTTATAAAGTACATGATTTTCTTATTTGTGCACATCTATAGCACAGTCGGTACCTTACGAATAATGTTGCATTCCTCACCTTTTAGAATAAATAAGGTAGGTACTTTAATTTTCGATATTCACTTATTAAGGGGAAATATAACCTCAAATGGCTTAGAAGATCCTCCGTTATGCCGAAAATATTGCAGCATTAATTTTTAAATAAATATATGGTAAAGTTAAGGATTAATGTTAAGGACTATGTTAGACGAAAACACGAACGTAAAATTTTCTCGATAGAAAAAAAATCCAGTTACCTCCAAAATAGACAATAAACCGCTGTTATTCATAAAATACTTTAAATAAAATCATGAAACTTTGCATACTAACTGAACTAACTATAAAGCAGTGCTTATGTTATTAACTTTTTGTTAAATACCATTATTTTCACTGTAAAAAGAAATTACCTAAACTATCGGCGTTTTGAAGCTTGGTTCCTGCCGCCCAGTCAGTTTCATAGATAAGAGTGTATATACGGAAAGGTCATTGGTAATGGTCAGTTTCGCTTCAGCCTTTAATGGGGGAGGTTGTGTCGCTTACGATCAGAATACAGAATACACATTACGCAACAGGACGACGCAAAATTAAAATGGAAAATAACCGTAATAAAAATAAGAAGCGACTGGGTTGGCGTTAAGAAACAGGCATAAATATGATAAACCTAATGAAATAAGTATCTAACGACCTATCCACTTACAGTATTAGTGATTACAAATATGTCGGTACATAGCATACGACGCGCGGGGAAGTGGGGGCGAAATTAGAATTTGAGCTGACTTACTATATCCCCTTAATATAAATGACTACCTCATTCGTTTAGTGGCCGTAAGCACGATCATAATGTCCAAATTGGAACCCTGGGTCCGGCCGAAATAAGTTATGGGTATGGGCTGCACTGGTCATAAAATCCCAGTAGCAGGACGGAGTCGAGAAGATTTTTTATAGGATAAGAGTAACACGAGCAAACAGTCCACCTGATCAAATTGCAGATGTGTTTCCAATCGTGAGGACTAAGATGGAATATCTCGTTTCCAGTGAAAGGGATATCCGGTTCTCTACACTCAGCATACGAAACACAGCAGCGTTAGGCTGCTACTTTACGCTGATATTCTGTGTGAGTGTGGTCCTTCCCCAGTCAAGCCGACCTATTAGTACCAGAACTATACTACTAATATAGCTACAACATGGCTCTACCACGTACAAAGTTGACGGTGTTTCACCCACGCGCTTCGGAAAGTGCGTAAAGCCATTCTAATCACTTCAGCCGTTTAGGATTGCCGTCTCATATGACTGTGAGAGTGAGGGAATAGTGAGTGCAACTATGTTTGCGTACACACCACGTGTACTATCCAGTCCACTTTTCGCAGTATTAAAATTCAGCCTATAATAACAACTTATTGCTGCAGTGTTTCTTATAAGTGTGATGAGAGACGAGCTCTCCTGTCACCAGCAGCGGTGACCAAACGCTGATGATCTTTTAGAAGCTGGCTTAGGAAAGGTACTGGAATAAGTTTATTCTTTTATTTTTAGTACTAGAATTAAAATTTAGACAGGAATACCGATCTGTATAATATAAGATGTAACATGCAATATAAAACAAATTATAACTATATAGAAGCGTTGCTTTATACTAGTGATCCATATGTTATTTATCGTTCGAATTTCTTGTTGTTTCAAATACTATTTTAATCATAACAGTAGGACTACATAGATATTAATTACTAAAAATATTAAATCTATACATTATGAGCAGCAAGTTGCAAAAAAAACTATCCATTTTGTTCCATCGTAGATCTAAAGTAGAACTATTTAGAAAATCCCTAAAAATACGCAGGTAAAAGTTAGCAATATTATAAATATAGCATAAGGGGTCCAATGAGCGGGTATACTAGAGCGACTCTGCCCGCGCTCAATGGCTTTGATACTTTTGTGGCACATCAATTTGATTAAAAAACATATCACCAAATTTGCAACTTTAGAATACTGCGAAAACGACTAAGCGACCATATATTGATGAAGAACACCAACCATGTACTTGGTTAACAGTCGCTAATTCAGGATAGTTCAAATATATTTTACGTTTATGTGTGGTAGAGCCGTGCTTCAGTGATATAGTAGTATAGTTGTAGCACGGATGGGTCGGCTCGACCGGGGAAGGACCACAGAATACCAGCGTAAAATAATAGGTTAATGTTGCTTCGTTTCGTATGGCGAGTGTAGAGAACCGGAGACCCTTTTTACTGGAATCGAGACATTTCATATTACTCCTCACGGGTGACAACGCATAAGCATTTTGATTTGTAATCGAGGATAGATGTAGATATCTATGTGCGACAGCAACCACTTACCATCAGGTAGACTGTGTGCTCGTTTGTCACCCTATCCTATAAAAAAATAACAATAATTAGTGAGGTAGATACATTTATTTATTGTTTCCAGCTATTAATCATCAATTTTAAAATTCTGGCAGCATTTACTGTTATAGTTAAGTAAACATGTTTCGGTAATACAAGTATAAAGTTTAATTAACTTTAAAATTTCGTTTATTGTACTACACCGAAAATATCATACAATTTGTATAAGAAATATACAATCATCAAAAAGCTTATTATACATCTTTTAGTACACTACCAAAAAGTCGTTTATTAAATTGCGCAATTTACGATACACTCAGTTATGTGTAAAAGTCTTAACATTTCACTCTTATATTAAATTAAACACACCATTACATGCTAATAATTTAATGTAGACACGCAAAACGTTGTTTATCAAAATCGCACACGTTCATAATATTGTAATAGTTTTATAATAAAATAACACCCGTCAAAGAAACATACAACATGTAACAAAAACCCATTTGTTCCCGTTAACTGCGTTATCAGAATCAGTATCCAAGCGTATAGAAATTTTTTTTTTCAAAAAAAAAACACATTTCAAAAAATTAATTTTAATGGAAAAAAAATAATTTGCAAATAGTATGTGGTTTTATTTCCTCTAACTCACAAGAATATCGGTAATGCGGGGTCTTTGGCAATCCTCTTACTCCTCGGCCAATGCAGAGATAATAAAACCACATACAATTTGCAAATATTTTTTTTCATTAATATCAATTTTTATACGTGTTTTTTTTATTAAATATTTCTATACACTTAACGGGAACCACATGGTTTTTGTTACATATTGTATAAGTGTGTAAATACACATGTTACAGAGAAAGCTATTATACAATTATCACGCTCGCCTTTGTATATAAAGCATATGGTATAATAGTAGGAACACAAAATTTATTACTTAAAATTAATTTATCCTACCAAAAATACAAATTGTTAAATATTAAGTTTCAAGTTGATAACGAAAGTACCTTTAAGATTATATAAACTAATTGAAAACGTTTTTTTAATTATAATAAATATAAATTGATATTAAAAAGAAAAGGAAAAATATAATAAAATATAATTAACCACATGTCTAGCAAAATAACGAAAAATTTAACTTTATTTACTTCTATGTTAACTTTTAATTAAATTCGGCTATATAAAGTCAGTTTAAGATGACTTTCGTCCTCCACGTCATCTTAAACTCCAGCGACAGCGTAACCTAACACAGGTTAAACGACTTGGTATAGTCTAGCACAGATTATATGATAAAAAAATTTACGTTCATTTTTTTATTCCGGAAGCACGGAATATACTCAATGTTACAAATTCATTACTTATTTAAAATGTCACGAATTAAATACCGATGCTCTTAGGCATACATTACACGCTCATGCAGGCTGTCAGTTTTCAACAATCACGGTTGTGGTACATAATGACAAATAACCTAGGGTGTAATGCAGTGATTGACGTCTGCATGAGCGCGTAATGTACGCCCATCAATCACCATCCGTTTTTTGTCAATCATGATTGATGGAATTGATTGACGCCTGCATGAGCGTGTAATGTACGCCACACACTGTGTTTAATGCAATTCAAATTAATTTGAAGTTTGGCTCTTCGATTCTTATTTCGAAATAAGCTCCAGAGTTAAAAAAAACGTAAGTATATATTATGTAAATCGACTCTTGAAATCTAATATGCCATAGGTTTATTTTTGTTTAAATTAAAATCGTACAAAATAAAGATCAATTCCGACATTAAACCAAAGAAAAAAATCTGTCGGCCATATTGCTTCGGCTTCGTAGAACATTGTCGCTGTCATTTATTTTTCGTCACTGATGACGAGATTTATAAACACAACATATAACATATAGTATGATACCATGTATCATATGGTGTGGTATTCCCTTAGGGTTTTTACACAAATATAGTTGTTAGTTTTCAAATAAAACAAAAATTCGTTTTACATGTGCCGATACCGGATAGCTAAAACTTATTGTAACATAAACAACGATGTACGAAACCGAAGCCAAAACTTGCCGAGCCGAGAAAAGGTTCTTTCTAAAATTGTAATATGTGTTTACAATCAAATACTGAATTCCATGAATAATTATCTACAAATGGAGGTAATGTAAAAACATGCAAGCAGCATCTTAATTAAAACTCATATCAATAAAATCTCAAATTTAGCTTTTTAGCAACTCTATTAACCAAGTTTTTGAGAAGTTCGGAAAATTTTATTACTAACGCCAAGAATCTAGATACAAAATTTTAGTTGACTAAGTTTGCTAAAATAAGAAACATTTTTCAACGAATGCTCATTAATTTTAAATAGCGTCTACTTTCAAATTATTATTTAACATGATGAAGTATCAAAAATAAATACAAGGCACATTATTTTACAATCACCGAAAAAATAAACGCATTTTAAGTCGGACACTGTCTCAGAAATTCCGAATCGAAATAAACAATAGTTACAGTCATGTCATCTCTGAACATCCGACTGACGTCTGGAGACAAGCTCAACAAATGCGCCAATCTAGAATGATCCACGCCATACTCCGTGCCGCCAATAGCATTTCGAATCAAATGTGTTGCTGCATTTCTGTCTTTCGGTTTACTCTTTAAACTCTCTTTCCTATGAAGCAGAAGTTCATTGATATCACTGAGTTGTATGTTCTTCTTGGGAAGTTTGAGTGGATTGAAGAAAACTTTTCCCTTCATATGTTCTCCAACCAACTTAACCGCTTGGAGCGGAGTGAGCATATCCCATATACCATCAGAAGCAATAATTAAAAATTTATCTTTTGGAGTAAGTCTATGATAGTAAATATCAGGTTTCGCGGTGAGGTAGGGAGGGGTGTGATAATTTGCAGGTATTGCCTTTTCGCCGATCAATGGTACTGCGACTTTAGTTAAAACATCTGTAGACCATTTATATCGGTAATCACCCATACTTCTAAGCGGAGCTAATTCTCCTAAAAGCCTGTCCCTTCTTATAACAGTCTTTCTCTCGCTGTCAGGATGTTCATTCCATATTCGTTTAAGTTCATCATAGTTTTCAGAATTATGCTCTTTTGTAATTTTCTTTGCTACCCATTCATTCTCCTCCGTCTTAGTGCCCAACACAGCGTTACAATCTCCAACATTTGCGACATACAAATGTGGCCCATCGATATAAGTTACGCATACCACTGCCCCTGATAAGGCAACAGACAGCGTCTTTGGATTTATAACGCCATTGTTTTTGAATGGCTCAACAACTTCTCTGGACAAATCGTTATCTAACTGCAAGATTCCTTTCTCCAGTGATGCATTCACATCAGATTCTTTCCGTGGTGTTTTTGCTAAGTCGAGCAAATACTGTTTAAAACTATTATCATATATGGTTTTTAGATCTTCTATTAATTCTACCTGAAACAACAAAATGTTATAAAATATAGTGGGATGTTAAAATAAAATCTTTTTTATTCTAATCATGGACATAACGATTCAAAGCAAACAAATATTTATTAATTTTTATCTTTTTTACCATCGACTGCTAAACATGCATTCTGCCATATGGACCTCGCTCCATATGGGAATTTGCTATAAGCGCCACACTCGGTAAGCGGGTTGCCAACCGCAGTACACTACATACGTCAATGATGCAAGATACCACTGCTCCCCGTTGTCGGTTTCCGTATTTTACACCTGGCGTAAAAGAGATGACCACCACATACAAGTCATAAATTTTTTTAGCTTTTTGTTCCGTGGGTGTGTTGTGAGGTTAGGCCACTGTAACACTGCGAGTTTCATTTATTATTGTTTGGGCCTGTGCTAATATCTATTATAACATTTAAGTTAGTTAAACAATCTCCCTCTTGGACTCGACCACCTGCGCTCATCTGTGTATTAGGTAAACAAAAAGATCGCAAAAAGGTCACTAATCAACTGGTGACTCAATTATTTTCGAAAACAAGGATATAATGGTGATAGGCCTGTAATTGCACAGATCAGAGCGGTTACCTTTTTTAGAGTTCGGGTGCACGAAAGCTATCTTCCACGAAATTCGGACTACGCCTAGAGAGTAGGAGTACCGGAGAAGACACGTTAGACCAGTGCCAACTATGGAGCGACCGTCCTCAGCACAATTGGATGGATTCCGTCAGGCCCACTCGACTTGTTGACGTCCAGGGAGAGGAGTGCTTCTCTATGCGTTTGAACCGAGCGCTGTGTGAACCGCACATCCGACATGGAGCACTCACAAAGCGGGATGGTTGGCGGTGTGTACCCCCCGTCATCGAGGGACGCAAAGAAAGTCTAGCAGATCGCCTTTCTCAACTGCGGCATGGGCCAGGGAGTCGATCTCTCTGTCGTCGTTGGGATTGTGAGACGTCCGGAATCCCGCAGAATGCAACCGCGATTTTACCGTGAGTGGCACCACACTCCGGACTAGAAAATGCTATAATGGACTAGGAATGCTCTGAGGATCCAAGAGGGGCTTCGATGGAGACCTGATATCCATCCGCATGAGAGGTCAGCAGAAGGTCCAACAGTAAGGTGATCACATGATCCTCCACATCTGAAATTCGCGTAGGCGAAGTAATCAGTTGTGTCAGACCATACGCTAGGGCAAAGTATATACGAAGATAAAGATCAGTTAAACGTGAACCGATCCATTCGCGATGATGGGCCATAAAAATCACCAAGGATCACGATCTCTGCGGTTGAGATCTGCTGTAGCAAGGAATCTGTAGCCATTTCGACGTGGTCAATGACTCGGTCCGTTTGGGCATTGACACCACACAGCACGAGAGCATACAGCATAGGCGGTGTTTAGAACTTTAGAATAGCGAGAACTTCTGCTAAGTTATTCCGCAAGTGTACTTTTACTTTACTTGCAGTTTACAGTACCAATATTACTATACCTATACATACACCCGTATATGCGCAACGGATGGTCGTCGTTGTCTACGCGTAGCCAAAGGATGGACAGGTCAAAGCATTCAAGACTGCTGAAGCGTCGAGAACCGATGGTCTTTCATCCTGATGATCCAGGTGGTACTAGGGTCGATCCAAAAGTAATGATAATGAATATTAAACACAATGATGATTATAGTTAAAAAAAGTAATTTATTATTCTACATAGTCTCCTAACAATGCATTGAACATTTAGTCCATCTTTTTTCTAAATCCAGAATTCCCTTAGAAAAAAAATCTTTATCTTGACTCTCCAAAATAACCTCAACAGCGTCCATCACTTCGCTATCGTCTGCAAATTTCTGGCCTCGAATGTGTTCCTTGAGCCAGAGCTAGATCTGGGGAATAGAAACAAATCCCATTTCTTGTATTGCAGCCATCGCAACTGCGGCTTGGTGAGTCGGCGCGTTGTCTTGGTAAAACAGCATTTCAGTTTGCCGGTTCTTTTTTCCTTGATAGCCTCTCGAAATCTTGTTATTTGACCTGCGTAGTAAGAGCCCGAAATAGTGGCTCCCTTTTACAAAAACTCCTCTGTAATTATTCCGTCAGCGCCCCAAAATCGGACGCCATAACCTTTTGCGCCGAACTTGACACTTTGAATTTCTTTGGCGTCGTTGAGGAGGCTCGTTTCCAAATCAAAATGGTGGATGCAAGTCTCGTCCATGGTCACGAAACGTGATAAAAAAATTCCTGATCTGACCTTTCGAGATTCACCCTCGAAATGTTAAATCGTTTCTTCTTTTGCTCGTCGGTTAACATTTTCGGTATCAAACGCGCAAAGACTTTTTTCATATGTAATTCGTTCCCAAGGATTCTTTGAACACTGCCATATGAGATTCCTGTGACCTCAGCTAAATGCCTAATGGTCACCCTTCGGTCTGCCAATACGACATCTTTGACTTTTTCCATGTTATCTTCAGTGAGGGATGTGGATGCGTCCTTCGCGATGTTCATCTTCCGTTGATGTTCTGCCCAGCTTAAACTCCTTGGCCCATCGTGCAACTGTGAAATATGGAGGAGCAGAGTCCCCCTATGTTCGATCAAGTAGCTGTGTCTTTAGTCTTTGTGTGTCTTTCGTAGATTTTTTTTAAAACAGAGGTACTTCTTGATGACCACTATAATTTCGTTTTTCTTCATTTTGATATCTCTTCGATGATTTAAATACGTCAAATGAATGTGCCTTTCGGGAATCGTAGTCTAATTATATGATCATTTATGCAGATCTAGAAAATCTAATTTTTTTTTGGGTCTTTATGTGCATTATAAATAACCAATTACCGTTATTTTTGGATCTCTCCTAGTACGTTACGAACATTTTAGAATAGATTGTGAGGTCTTTTGACCCATACATTTCAGATAACTTTCTTTCGAGACTAGACTGTGCTTGGCTGTTCATAGTAAATATTGTTTTGGGGTATTTTATTCAGGTGGGAATAAAAGTTTTTGAATGACGCCACAAGACCTAAGCCCGATACAGTGTTTAGGATGAACTATAAAGTCAAATTAAATAAAAACTTAAATAACTTTGATGAAACAGAGAGCGCAGTCAGAGATTGCGGGCGAAGTAGTAGGCTCGCTCTTGCGGATATATTCAATTTCGAGGAAAAACAATACGAGATAATTCAATTTCGAGGAAAAACACAAAAAAACGCGGCATATAAATACTCTCAATGAAGAATATTAATATTTTTAAGACAATTTTTTGTGTAAAAACTAACTAAAGAGCATGTGACTTTTTGAAATTTTGCAAATTATAACAAAAAAAATCCAAAAATGGGTTGACACATTTACACACAATACGATTTAAAACATTTATCGAATCTTTATCCGTCGTCCTATATTTTTCTTTATTAAATTAACAGTTATTGTGATATTTTACTTAAATATCCAAGGCTTTGTTCTGCCGTTTCCAAAGACGCGTTGTCCTTTAAAAAATATTAAATTCTTAATAAAAATATAGAGGGTCACCTATCGAGACAAAAACTATGAGTATCTTATCTCTAAAGTTGGAGCAAGCAATACACATTTACAAAATTTCATTAAAATTGGCTGAATGATTTCGGAGTTCATCGTGGACAAACAATGTTACACATAATTATTATATATAAAGATGTGCAAAAAGAACTATAACAAAATAAAGTGTGTGTGACTGAATTAAATTCAATTAGTATTATATATATATATAAAGTTAAGGTTGCCGTGTAAACCTTCGAGGGTGTCGTACCGCTGAGGTCCATATACTAAAATATTTTGCGTTTTCTCTATATCCTACACGAAAATCAATCGATTGCACTACACATGTAGTTTGAAAATTAAATACTAATTGTATTAAAAATAAATTAACTATGAACAAACTTACCCTATCATTAATAATTTCTACCAAACTCTCTTCAGGCTCCTTTATAAACTTGTTTAATGAGTCCATTGGAAGCAAGGCCGCCGCTATATACTTTAATAACCGCTTGGATATTACTTGGGCACATGCCGGGCCACCATGTCCATCAAACACACCCATTAAAATACCTATAAATTAAAATTGACAAATAAAGGTTATAATAATTTTTGACTATGATATTTTAAGTTGTGGGTACAACTTAATCTGCGTAGAACTTAAAACTTTACTTTCTTTAATTTGCTGGTATGGTCAAACCATGGTTCAGTGCCATTTAATTGAAGCCAATAAACACCAAAACAAGAAAATCCGTTTGCCGAAAGAAAAACAGTTACGAATTTATAAGTTTATACTAATGCACATTGTTTATAACAATTACATTTGTTATAAACAATTAAAAACCATTTTTTTCACCTTAAAGGCGAACTGTGGGAACAATTTATCACCGTCTTTTAAAAAACATATTGTTAATTGATTACAGCCTATAAAAGTTCGTTGTTGAACTTAGGCTCTCTCCATAAATTGCCTCATAGTTGGCAAACGCAGTTTTTTGTTTTTAGTCGTTATTAACAGCTTCGCTGCCAACTGAAATATGGTGACGTCATGGGAAAATCCGTTGTTTTTTTTTTTGTAAAATATGCATGAAGGACGTTTCAATATTGTTATTTTGGAAATATTTAACTATTTTTAGAAGGTTTTGGTAAGAAAATGCTAAATAAAAAAAAATCCGAGAATTTGCGGACCTGGCACAAAGATTGACATTTTAACCCAAGTCCGCAATTTTGCTGAGTAGTTTCTTTTATGTATTATGGTTTATTTAAAATTATCTATGGTATTTAAACACAAAAAAAATAGTAGTTTGCTTAAATTCTAATACATTTGGTAAGTGTAGCAGTGCCGGGCGCGTACTAATTCGTAGTAACCAAGCGGCGCTACTCCGCATATTAGCGGGGCCGGCACCCCGCGCTCACCCCGCACTCCGCTAATTCGCGGAGCTGGCAGCGAAGTTGTTAAGACGACACTGCCGCCCATCTCCCGATTTGTTTCCCTCGGAAATGGTTATTCTTACACCACCACTATTCGGTGAACTCAACATTAGTTTAAGTATATATGTATATACTTAAACTAATTTTGATTAAACTAATGTTTATGTATGTATAAGTATATTATAATCCTATTTCCCAAAAGCAACAAAATATATATATATATATATATATATATATATATATATATATATATATATATATATATATATATATATATATATATATATATCTTAAGACTACATGTATGTCAGTAAAACTAGAATATATTATGTTCAATATTTTGTGGAATTAAATCAGAGAATTAACTCTTCCCATGGAACTATTTTATCATAAAGTTAAAAGTTACAGCCTATACACGTCCCGCTGCTGGGTATGGACCTCCTCTCATTTCTGAGAGGGTTTTATGGCAAGGAAGTATCCGCCGCGCTGCCCGAATGCGTGTTGGCGAACTTCACATGTCCTCGAAAAAAAATTTTCTTATTTCTCAGACATGCAGGTTTCCTCACGTTTCCCTTCACCACCGAGCATGTGGTTAAGTCAGCATTTAAAATTGCAATTAACAATTTCAGTGATGCTAGGAGGGATCGCACCCAAGATACTCGCGTAAAGATAGCTGTGTAATTTTCAGCTAGCACTAACCATCTGAGCTACCATGGCTCATTTTTATCATAAGAGTCCATGTGTGAGTATCAATAGGAAGGATATAGAAATATAACAAATGAACAAATGATACAAAATTTGACATACACAAAGTTCAAAAATGTTATTAAACTAAGTTTGTATAAAAAGGGTTATTATAATATTAAGGAATTTACGGATGATAATAACCCCTGGGAAGGGTGATCGCTACTAAGCTATTACTAATTTGTTTTGTGTTGTTAATTGTAACATGATTGCAAGCTATTATTTGAAAAAAAATAGTCCCGCTGGGTTTTTTGCTGGTTCTTCCCCGGACAGAGGTTTTTTTTTTGGGAACCATCGGTAAATGAAAAAAGTGACTTTCAATAAGTATTATTTATAATCTACATAATATATTGAATTAAAAAGTTTCTGTTTCTGAGCGAGGCTCAAAAACTGCGAATATTTTTGCAAATAAAAGATGTGGTAGAGTAAGGCAACGGCTTTCATCAAATGGAAGCAATCCTTTTTTCTTCTATTTAGAAAACAGTTTCTATCTTGTGCAACATTTTTAATAATAGATAAAATTCTCTTGCATGTGTATGCGTTTATCACATCCCTTTTCAGCTATCTTTCACTTACATGATCATTCAGAATCCCACCATTGGTTACTGACGTTTTTTCAACAATATAGCTCCCAATCAATCCTTTTAGTAGTTATTGCAAGAGAAAAAGCAGTAATTCTAGAAAATATAATGCTATTGGAAAATGAAGCTAGAATAAGTAGTTAACAAGTACTTGACAAAACATATCAAGTGCGAGTGAAGTTGAACATAAAGTAACACAAAAGCGATAGCAGGCTGAAAATTTTGCGAAGGAATACCCTCGCATTTTTGTTCTGTTAGCTAGTAACTAGCCGGTACATTCTCCCATCCTATCCGTTTTCCCTTCCGCACGCACTGAGAAGGGGCGGGGACTAAGACAATAAGAAAGCGCGCTCCACTTAGATGGAAGTGGAGCCGGCCGAGAACCTAAAAGGACGTCGACTGCCGCCGCCTGAGACCAAGGCAGTCAGAAAACCCACCCCGGTAAGTGCTTTCCTCTTTTCAATTAAATGAGCTGTTCTCTTTTTCCTTTGTTGTGTCCTTTTCCGAGCAGCTCATATTTGTTCCTACGAAAAAGTACCAGCTAGATTAATAAATTAGGTAATAAAAGTGCATTGTCCATAGCCTGCCACGTGCCAAGTCAGTCATTTTGTTTTAGTTGTAACTAACTACGCATATACAGTCCACACCGTTTGATTCACTCTATAACACCTATTGTTAATCTCGCGTACAAATTTTCGGGGTCATTACTCCCCGGAATCGAATCCGGGACCCTGTGGCCCAACCACAGGTCATGTGTGACGAGAAACTATTATGTAAAAGTACTTTAATAGAAATAATTAAACACAACTATGAACATATGATAAAACATAATATCACATGTGTAAAACCTGCAAGGGAGTGGAAATACGGAAAAATAAAATAAAACTTATGAACAAGAACAAAGTTAGGAAGTGACAAAAAGGCCCTATTGCCGTAGCATTAATAGTATTTTGCAGAACAATAATTAAAAACAAATATTTTTATATAAAGTAATTTCTCTTGTGTTACCATCTTTCTTGTCATCCTAGTCACAGAAGAAACTAGATGAACCTACCGATATCATATTACTTAAAGAAAATATCGCTCGCGTAGTTCACCGCCCGCTCGGGGCTGCCTAAAATACCAATTTTTTTTGCGGGTTTTGCGGTGTCCTTTTGTTGTAAGGGTTTTTTTTTTAGTGCTTTTGATCTAAAAAGCAAAAATAGTTTAAGGATTGAGTCTAAAGTCAAACGCTCAAGTGATTAAGTGATTTAATAAAGAAGTATGCCATAGAAACACAGCTGCTTGTTTGTCGGCCTTCTATAATCTGTAAAAGAGTGACAAACAAGCTACTTGGCGGTGGTGAGCTAAGCTCTGAAGCTTGGCACAAACCAGCTTTTTGTCGCCGATAAGGCTCCCGGATCTACGTTGCACTAAGTCAAGTGCGGCAAGTAGATTTTTTGCTGAGCCATCCCACAGATGACTACAATACTCCATGCATATTTGAATTTAAACATTATATAAAATTAGAAGATGTGCAGGCGTGAAGTATCGCATCACCTTGTTTAAAATACGCAGTTTTTTTGGCCGCAATTTGTGCTTTCGACTACTTACATTACTATAATTAGTTAATATAGAGAGAGTATTATTGTGATTTTTAAAGCAAATAACATTTAAAAAATTACACAAATCCAAATTTAACCAAAAAAGTTAGCTGTGTCATTTTCTTTAGTTTTGACATTTATTTTGTTTTAATATTTTAATAAAATTATTATTATAATTACCAATGAAAATGTACCTGGTGTCAGCTTGCACAGAGCCTCGCTTCTTGTGTCTTCAATGGGATCATTAGATGCTAACTGATTTGAATCATATGATTTAACAGACCCACTTGAAAATTCTTTATTGTACTCATTTTTACGGAGAATAACTGTAACCTGAAAACACGACATAATATATAGATTATTATCACAACAAACATTCATAAATAATTTTGAAATGGAAAGCAATAAAAAACTAATTTTCATAAATTATTATTGCTATATATTTACTTTTCAACACTTTTGACCACTAAAGGTCAGGGAACACTGCATACCAAAGACCTAAATGAAAAATACTAAAGATGTGTGGCTACTCATGAATATAAATATAGTAACGCCTAAAAACTTACTGGGGTACTCTGAAAGCTTTGTGTAACTCATAAATAAATCAAATAATGTGTAAAAAAATATGTTAACTGACGATGCTGGAACCAGAGTGATCTAAGTGACATTTTTACCAAAAATGGTTCTTTTACACAAATGCAAAGAAAAATCATAATTCTTTCAGGCCATACTGTTCTAAGTGTTTCCCAGTATTTTTTTCCTTGAGAAATCACATCTCACTATAGAATCGGTGCGGTTTTCAAAATGGAGACATGCCAAACTGATCTAAGTAATGAGAGCGCACTTAGATCACTGTGGTTGCAAGTTGCTGGCGTTTATGGAAATCCAAACTGATCTAAGTGCAATTAATTGTGTACAAATAATTTACGTAATTTTTATTTAATATGTATGTTTATATACTTAAAACAAATAATATGGTTTGATATTTTTACAAAACCACTGAATATTTTTAAACTGGCAACACAAACGCAGTCACGTCTACAAAATCAAAATCAATTGACGTTACTTGTGAACCTAAAAACAAATTCCTAGGTGTTGGGTCGGTGTATAAGTGTCGTTGTGTTTGAATTACCTTTTTTTTTGTTTATTATTTCTGTTGGTGTTGGTTTTAGTAGTTATAAATCCGTAAGTGTTTAGTAATTGTGCCGTTTTATATGTAATTAGTTAGAATAAAATGGAGGAAGATCCTCCCGATCCCGACGGGGTTCCATGTGACTCCCATACTGGTACGGAAAAAAATAATAATATTCCTATCGAAATTGATCAGTCGAAGCGTAAAAGATTGCAAGCAACCAATAACTCAGGTCATCCTCAGAAAAGATTAATTACAGATCCATCTCAACCTGTTCCATCTATTCAGACCTCTTATACCCACCCTGAATACATAGAAAAAAACATAAATATTCTAATAACGACAATGCGCCGTTTATTGTACATGTAAGTAAGAGAGTAGATGATTTATCAACTGGAGTAGTTTTAAAACCGATAAAGTTTGGTCATTTTCTCTACCATAATAATATTAAAAATGTTGTAAGTGATGGTGTTAAGCGAGTAGGACGCAATAGAATTTCAGTCGAGTTTAAAAGTGCAGCTGATGCAAATTGTTTTATTGAGAACCCAGCCCTTGCAGGTGCTAAATATGATACTGTAATCCCTTCTTATAATGTCACACGCATGGGAATAGTGAGGCAGGTCCCTGTAGAATGGACATTAGAGGAACTCATCTCATCAATCGAGGTCCCAGCTGGTTTTGGCTCAATTATTAAAGCTCGCCGATTTAATAGAAAGTCAGTTAATGAAAACCAAAGCACTGTGTGGATTCCCTCTCAAACAGTTGTTTTGACTTTTTCCGGTCAGAAACTTCCTTCTAACATTTATTGTTTTTTTACCTCAATGCCTGTTGAGCCCTACATTTTACCTCTTATTCAATGTCACAAATGTTGTCGTTTTGGGCATGTAACCTCACAGTGTAGGTCATCTTCCCGGTGTTTTGTGTGTGCTCAAAATCATGAAGGAATATCATGCACAAGACAGTCTCCCACGTGCTTATTTTGTTCAGGATCTCACACAGCTAAAGATCCTTCCTGCCCTGAACACTCTAGGCAGAGATCTATCAAACTTACCATGTCACAGGAAAATATTTCCTATCTAGAAGCATCTGCCCGTTTCCCTTATGTCCGGAGATCTTATGCAGATGCTGCTAGAATCCTTCCTTCGTATGATCATCAGAGTCCCTATCCTATTTCAAATTCCCCTTTACCTTCAGTTGTCCCCTCACAATCTCATTCTTACAGGAAGACTACATTTACTCCAAGACTTCCGCCAAATCCAGCATCAAGTCATGGATATGATAAATCTGCCCACGAGGCAATAATAGATACCCCTTCTTCTTCAACTACTAATGGTTGTGCTTTAATAGGGCGGAGTATTTCCCCTAATGACAATCTCTGTGAGTTAATGATCTCCATGCTTATAAGTATGCTTTCCCGTTTCAGCGATATGGATCTCCCACTTGCCCTCCGCCAAAAACTTACTGAGCTCATCTCATTAACAAATAACCTTCCCTCCAATACTTCAGTGGAACTGCCGGAGCATTAATAATAAAAAAATGAATTAATTTACCTTATTAATAAATACCATCCCCTCATCCTAGCCATTCAAGAGACATGGCTTAAGCCTGGGTCCCATTTTAGGATTTCAGGTTATTCATGCCTCAGGAATGATAGGAATGATGGTCATGCTGGCTCTTTCATTCTTATCTCAAAATCAATTACTTATACATTAATTTCCCTCCCTTCTCATATTCCTTCAATTAATGTTGTAGCAGTTAGAGCTCATAACACTTCTTTTCTTTCTATTTACATTCCCGAACCTAGTTTAAATGTTTTATCAGAACTTACGAGGATCATATCCTCCATCCCGCCTCCTATGGTAATTCTTGGTGATTTTAATATGCACCATACTTTATGGGGCTCCCATTTTTGCGATCCCTGGTCTTCTACATTTTTAGACATCATTAATGATTTAGATCTCTGCCTCCTTAACGATGGTTCACATACACGTAGAGTATCCCCCTCCAAAATCCTAAAAGTGCAGATCTGTCACTCTGTTCTCCTGCTCTGTCGTCCCTTCTTTCTTGGAGAATATTACCCTTTTCCCATGGCAGTGATCATTTCCCTATTGTTATCAATCCCCCTAGCTCCTATACAGTCAATGTTCCATTCAATCCTAGGTTAAAATATAACACTTCCAAAGCAAACTGGCAACTATATTCCACAGTTCTAGAGGAAGAACTTTCAGCCCTTCCTCCTGTTCAGAAAGATAATGTTCTCCAGGTGTATGCTTCTTTTAAAAACGCTATTTTATCTGCTGCCAATAAGACAATTCCCATCAAAAAACCTTATAAAAATAATGCCCCTTCACCACCTTGGTGGGATCAAGATTGTTCTGTAGCATGTAAGAAGAGAAAGGAAGCTGAAGTAAGATATTCCCACTCTATGAATTTTGACAACTATATTTTTTATAAAAAAACTGCTGCTGAAACATTAAAATTATTATCCGGGAAGAAAAAGGCTGGATGGCTTAAATTCTGTGAGTCACTGTCGCCTAGGACCCATCCATCATTAGTCTGGAAAAATATAAAAAAATTCCGATGTTCAGTTTTGACCTCTGAAAACACAATTTCTAATGATCAGTCTTATTGGCTAGAAAATTTTGCTAGTAATCTTGCTCCTCCTTCAGTACCATCTTACAATGAATGTATAGCATTTCAATCACAGTCCTGGCACTATCAACACAGTTTTGACGCCCCTTTCTCTTATGAGGAGTTATATGCTGTTCTTAGTGTCCTTAAAGACTCTTCACCAGGAATTGATGGAATTCCTTATTCTTTTATTACTAATAGCAGTGAACCTATTAAAGTCCATCTTCTTTCTATTTTGAATTGTATTTACATGTCTGGTATTCCTCCAGAAGAATGGAAATCCCAAGTTATTTTACCTATTTACAAACCAGGTAAGCCTTACACTGATCCCTCAAGCTACCGCCCTATCGCTCTTTCTTGTACCATGGCCAAAATCCTTGAACACCTAATAAAAAATCGTTTAGAATGGTTTCTTGAAAGCAAACGCCTTCTAGCAACAAGCCAATTTGGATTCCGAAAGGGCTTAAGCACCATGGATAGCCTTAGTACTCTAGTTACTGATATTCGTTTAGCTTACTCTAAACATGAATACCTTGTTGGAGTCTTCCTAGATATCGCGTCTGCATATGACAATGTACTTCTTCCTGTGCTCAGGCAAAAAATGCTCAATCTGAGTATTCCAGTGAGGATAGTAAATTTTGTCTCTAACTTTCTCTCTTCTAGATCCATTTATATTGATAGTAAACATCCTCTCCTCCCACCAAGAATAGTATGGAAAGGTCTCCCACAAGGCTCAGTACTTAGTCCTTTGCTCTATTCTATCTATACTTATGATCTAGAGCTTTCTGTTAACTCATTCTGTAACATCCTCCAATATGCAGACGATATAGCTATATATATTTCCTTGGATAACCTCCCTGCAGCTTGTTCCCGCTTGAATTTATCAATGTCCTATTTACATGATTGGTTAACTGATCATGGTTTGTCTTTGGCTGTTCCCAAAAGCAGTGTTGTGATCTTCTCTCGCCATAGGCAACTCCCTGAAATCAACATTCTCTATAATAATGAACCTATCCCAATTAGGGAGAATGTAAAATTTTTGGGAGTTATTCTTGACTCCAAACTAGCCTTTTCCCATCATATCAACTATGTTTCCAAAAAATGTGAAAAAAATATAAATATTCTTCGAGCTTTATCGGGAGTTTGGTGGGGCTCCCACCCATTCTCTCAAAAATTATTGTACAATGCCCTTATTCGTAGTCATTTGGATTATGGGTGCTTTGTCTTGGAACCCTGTAATAAGTCTTCCCTAAAGAATCTAGATAGGATTCAGGCCAAAAGCCTTCGTATAATCATTGGGTCAATGAAATCTTCCCCAATAAATGCTCTCCAAGTCGAATGTGTAGATCCCCCTCTTTACCTAAGAAGACAATATCTTTCGGATCGATTCTTTTTTTAAAATCTACCAACTCTCTTCCCACCCGCTCATTTCTAAATTACACCTTCTTTTGGAATATATTTTTCATCAAAGCATTACTGGACTCATAAAGAATCTCCCTGCTTAGCCAACAGTTTGGTAACATTACTCCATCTACCACACCCAGTATCACAATGCAAGTCCTGTCCCATC